GTCAAATTGGATCTGACTGGTACAGGAGGTGATTGTTCCTCCTTCTTCAGCAGAACATCTGGTGGATTTGAACCGTGCACCTCTGGGATTGCAGTGCAGTTTCCTGCTGCTAGGCCACCAGAGCTCGCCCAGGTTCTTGTTTTTACAGAGCTTCCTTTTTCATAAACAATAGCCAAATAACATCCCCTAAACATGTTGTTGTTGTTATTAAGTGCAGTTGAGTCAAGCATGACTCAGAGACCCTACAAACAAAAGACCTGAACCCTGGTCTATAACTATCATCGTTTCTTTATGTTCATAGAGTTTCCAGAGGCATGTGGTTTGGGAAGTGGATGCCACTCTTGCTCCCAAAGCTGAATCAATACGAGAGCTTCACCAAACACTGTCCATGATGTAGTAAAGTATTAAAAAGGGTCCACTTACTCATTTTTACGATTTAAAATAAAAAGACCCAAAGATACTATTCTGTACTCATAATCATAAATCTGTAGGTTGAAAGTAATTGGTTTCAAATAAAAAGGCCATTCTTTCCTTTAGATTTGGGAAAAAATTCTAAGATGAATAAAATACTAAATATACCTGTATGTAATAAATGACTGTTTAAATTGTCTTAACCAATTCTATATAATGGGACCTGCTGCCATTGAGTTGTTTCTGACTCATAGCAACATTTTATTGGGTTTCCAAGCGGTAAATATTTATGGGAGGAGATTGCCTATCTTTCTTCCTTGGAGCTCATGGATCTAAACTGTTGACCTTTTAGTTGGCAGCCCCTATATATTATGAACACACCATCAGAGCTCCTTCATGACTCTTTATAGGCCTACTCAATCTATTGAAACCACAGCAAAATAAACATAAAAATAAATGTTCTGTCAACTCTTGCCAGAGTGAGCCCTAAAACTCTCTTAGTCTCTTGTTGTTTGTTGCTATTGAGATGGAACTGACTTATAGCTGACCCATCAGCCAGTTTTCAGAAACTGTAAACAGCACTGGAGGAGACTGCCCATTGTTCTCCTCAGAGAAGCTAGTGGATCTAACCACCTGCCTTTGGGTTGGCGGTGCAACTCTTTGTTCATTAGGCCACCAAGACTCCCTGGAAGTGTTATTCCATATACTTTTTACAAAGAGTCAAGGAATAATGATCCTGCTAACTCCCATTCCATAGAGTCAAACATAAGATAAAGTCACTGTAGTCAAGTTGGTACTGAGTGAATGCGACCCTCCATTGGATTTCCAGGGCTGTCAATCACAAAGAGAGGAGACTGCCCAGCTTTCTCCCTCAGAGCAGCTGGGGAGTTCAAGCCTCAGATGTAGACAACCTTTGGGTTACCGGGGTAACTCATGGCGAACTAAGCCACCAGAGCTCCCGAATCTATGATAAAGCCTCCCACAATTTCAAATTGTTGCTTTCAATCTACCCTCCTCTGGCATTGTTTGCTTACAGTGTTTGGCTGAAGTTACACACCCGGTGCCCAAGGTTGCTATGAAGGAGGGTTGCTCCTCCAGAGATGAGCCCGTGACTCACTGCTTACCTGGTAGCTCCAAGTGGGTTGACACAGACTGGAGAGCAGCAACAGGAGAGGCAGCTGCCCTTCTAGTAACAAGATTCTCATTGCAGGAGTTCCAGTCGTCATGGGGAGAGCTGTTCTACACCTGCTGGTAGAGAGACATTCACTTGTGTTAAGAAGATATCTCCTTCCCTCTGGCAGCCTCATCCTAGAGTAAGTTCTCAGAGCTCTTCATTTGGAATTTCTCTTGAGTGAGTCTCTACAGGAGCCTTCCTTGCTCCTACCTGTGCTGAAACTTCTGTAGTCCACCAGTAGCCAGCAGTTTTTCCAAGAGAGAAATCAACCCCACACCACTGGCAATGCTGAAATCTCTGCAAAACAGCCAGTGTACCAAATAAGGCTTTCTAAAGGCAGCCTAACTTCATTTCTACATCCAAAAATACCAATCCCTGATCTGGGTTGAATTTGGGGGAATTCCAAAACCTGTTGAGGGTCAAGCTCAGTCTTCACTCTCCCAAGCACAACAGGAAAAAGCAAGCCCTGCCCAGTGTTTCAGGCCAGGCAACATTATCTTGAGCCTCAGGCTTCTACTGTGATAGATATGATTGGTATGGACAAGACTGGGTGGGTACTTCCTCAAGGTTGGCCAATGTCTGGCCCATCTGGTGCTGCTGATAGGCCCTGGACAGGATAGGCTGTCCCTGAGCAGTGCATCCTTTTGGGATATTGTCACAAAGAAGGCTCTTTTTCACAGGCACCACTGGAACTCTCTAGTCCAGAGATTGTATGAGCAAAGGTCATCTTTTTTTCTTCATCTTCTCTAGACAGCCTATTTCAGTCTATAATGACCTCTGACAACCTATATCCAGCTGTCACCATTTCAGCCTGTGGTGAATCCTACAACAGACATAAATAGACTAGCGTCCAATATGCCAAGGCAGCCCAGGACAGATGTTATGTTGGCCACTTGCAGATACTTCCCTTTTTAACCTGAACTTCCTTCCTCTATTCTCAATCCTTGGATAAGGGATTTTATGCATATCTTTCCAATTTTCTCCCATGGATTCATTTAACTGTTGAAGGAAACAAAAATCCTGCTTTTGGAAATTCTAGTGTTGCCATTGTCAGTATCCTCAGATAATCCCAATCTAATTTCTGTGACAATCATAGCAATTCTGTGTCATTAATAAATTAAAACCAAGGAAAGGATTGCCAAAGTGAAGGAGACGAGAAGAAAATTTCAAAGGGCAGTTTGAACAGACAAAGGAAAATATATAATGATATGTGCAAAGCTCTGGAATTAGAAAACAAAAAGTTAAGAACTTGCTTAGCTTCCTTAAGCTACAAAAATTGAAAACCAAATTCAAGCCTTGTTTTTCCATATTGAAGGTTGCTGTGGGAAAAACCCTGAATGATCCAAGAAGCATCAAAAAAAGATGTAAAAAAAATATGCTGAGTTGCTGTATCAAGAATTGGCTGATATAGAGCCATTTCAGGAAATGACATATGATCAGGAACTAATGGTGGTAAAAGAAAAGGTTTAATATGCTCTTGAATGAACTGACAAAAAAATATGTTTCCAAGAATTGATAAGATATTAACAGATAAATGTAAACCTGGGTGTGCCTACTAGGACTGTGCCAAGAAATTTGGAAAACTTGGCCAGCAGATTGGGAAGATCTATATTTGTTTAGAGTCCCCCAAAAGGTGACCCAACAGAATGTAAAAATTATTGAATAATCAAGAAATTAAGAAGCTGAACAGAAGATTTCAGATGGCAGCGTGGGAAGACCAAGTAAAGAATTGCAATGAAATCTGCAAAGAGCTGGAGTTAGAAAATCAAGAGGGCTGAACTCGCTCAATCTTTCTCAAACTGAAGCAACTGAAGAACGAATTCAAGCCTTGAGTTGAAATACTTAAGGATGCTTTGGGCAGAATACGAAATGATCCAATAAGCATTAAAAGAAGATGGTCCGCTCCACTATGCACCTTTTGTTCTGGACTCCTGTCATGACAATAATACCTAGTCACATATTATTGTCATGACAGGACTCTAGAATGAAGGATGCATAGTGGAGTGGGCCTTGTGGGAGAGACTGTAAAACAACAGGGAAACTTTTACTTTTCTAAGAGAAGAGTGTACTGGGGGGAGGAAGGGTGGGAAGAAAGAAAAGTGCAACAATGAATGAATGGAAATCCAAAGTCTCTGTAACTTTTCGTGAAAATTAATTTAAAAAAGATAAAATAAGATGGAAGGAGTATACAGAGTCACTGTACCAGAAGGAATTGGCTGACACAGAAGAATTTTAAGATGCAATGTATGAGCAAGAGCCTGTGGTGATGAAGGAAGAAGTTCAAGCTGCTCTGAAAAAGTGGCCCAAAACAAGGCCCCATAAATTGACGGCATATCAATTCACAGATTTCAACAAACAGATGCTGCTCTGGATGTGTTTACCAAGTTATGCCAAGAAATCTGGAGGACAACCACCTGGTCAACTGACAGAAGAGATCTGTATTCTCATTCCAAAGAAAAGTGACTTGACAGAGTGTGGAAATTATTGAACACTATCATTCATATTACATGCAAGCAAGATTCTACTGAAAATTATCCAAAAACAACTGGAACAGCGTATCAACAGAGAACTGCCAGATGTACAGGCTTAGTTTTGAAGAGGCTGTGGCACTAGGGATATTATAGTTAATGTTAGATGGATCTTGACTAAAAGCAGAGAGTACCAGAGAAAAGCCTGTTTCATTGACTATGCAAATGCATTTGACTGTGTGGATCACAACAAACTGTGACTGACTCTGAGAAGAATGGAAATCCCAGAACACTTGATTGTGCTAATGTGAAAACTATACTTGGACCAGGAGGCAGTTGTCAGAATAGAGCAAGGAAACATGGTATGGTTAAAATCAGAAAGGGTATATGCCAGAGTGTTTCCTATCTGGATACCTTTTCAATCTATTTGCAGAACAGATCGTTCAGGAGTTTGGGCTCTTTGAAGAGGAGTATGGCATCAGGATTGGAGGAAATTCATCAACAATTGCATAATACAGATGACACAACCCTGCTTGCTGAAACTGAGGAGGACCTGAAGAGCTTGCTGCAGAAGGTCAAGGACTGTATCCTTCAATATGGATTGACACTCAACATCAAGAAAAACAAAGATCCTCAATCATGGAATTATATAATTTGATGGGGATGGTGAGGGAAATTGGAAGAATCTATTCTCAAAGACAATGTATTAGAATTTTGTAAATAAACTAGCATTTAAAAAGAAAAAAGAAAACAAAGATTCTAACCATCATGATAGGTGGACAAGAGATTGAGATTGCTAACATCTTTAGTTTGCTTGGCTCCGCAATCAACACTCTTGGTACTGGCAGCCAGAAAATCAAGAGACAAATTGCATTGGGAAATCAGCTGTCAGAGAACTCTCCAGAGGACTGAAGAACAACAATGTCAGTCTGGAGACTAAGGTGTACCTGATCCAGGCCATAGTCTTTGCAATTATTTGCTATGCATCAGAGAGCTGGACAATGACTAAGGATGATAGAAGGAGAATTGATGCCTTTGAGCTGTGGTGCTGGAGAAGAGTGTTGAATATACCATGGACTACTAGGAGAAGGAACAAGTTCATCCTAGAGAGGGTGAAATCAGGCTGCTCATTGGAAGCAAAGATTCTAAAACTGTGTCTGACATACTTTGGGTGTGTTGCAAGGAGTGACCAGTTCTTCTAGTGACAATCATACTTGGAAGGTTGGAGGGACAGTACAAGACAGGAAGACCGTCGATGAGACATATTGATTCAGTGACTGAAATAATGGGGGTAGGCGTGTCAGACACAGTAAGGTTGGCACATGATAGAGCAGAGTTCAGAGCTGTTGTACATAGGAATGCTATAATTTGCAAGCAATTCAACAACATAGAAGAACAATATCATTAATGGCACATACCTATTTAGAATGGTATATCGGCAGAGAACTGCCACAGATTCAGACTGAATTTAGAAGATGCCATAGGACCAGGGATATTATTTCTGATGTCAGACGCATTTTGGCTGAAGGGAGAAAATGTAAGAAGAATGTCTATCTGTGCTTTATTGACTGTTCAAAAACATTTGAATGCATGGGTCATCATAAACTATGGTTAACATTAGAAAAATAAAAATCTCAGAACATTTAAGAAAGCTCATACAAAACTGCAACTAGACCAAGAAGCTGCTATTCAAATAGATCAAGGAAACATGCATGGTTTAAAATCGAGAAAGGGGGTATTAGGGTTGTATCCTTTCTCCATACTAATTCAACCTGTATCCTAAGCAGATTTTACAAGAACTGTGTTCTGTGAGGAAAAATATGACCTCAAAGACTGCAGAAAGACTCGTTAATAACCTCTATTATACAGATAATACAACTTTGTTTCCTGGAAGTGAGGAGGACTTGAAACACTTGATGCAAAAAAAATCAAGGACTAGATAGAGCCTTTAGTATGAGTTACATATAAACATCAAGGAAATAAAAGTCCTCACTAATGGGTCAATAGGCAACCTTAGGAGAGATTGAAGTACAAAAAAAAATATGGAAATTGTCAATGATTTAATCTTACCTGAGTTCACAATCAACAACTTTGGTACCAGCAATCAGGAAATAAAAAGACATGTTGCACCAAGGATGTTGATTGTTGATCCAAGCAAGATGAAATAATTGACAGCTTCAATCCTTTCTTCATTTGTTATTATGTTTCCTATTGTTCTAGTCATGAGAAGAACCTTTGTTTTCTTGATGTTAAGATGCAATCCATACCTAAAGCAAGCTGCTGTTGTCTGAACAGAGAATGGAAACACTATATAGTTAAAAAAATCAAGATGTGCATTAGGGATGTATGCTTTCTCCATACCTACTCAATCTGTATTCCATACCATTGATTGTGGATCCAAGTAAAATGAAATTGTAAAAGTACTCTATTTTTTTTCCCATCTTTGACTTTAATGCGTTGGACATATAATTGAATAATAATTGTATTAACAAGGTGGGTTTTTTTTTAATATGTGTGGATGGTATCCTATCATTCATAGTATTGCACTTGATGAAAAATATTGAAATGTTCATTTTGATGAACAATAACAAAAAAGACATATTGGATTGGGAATTTCTGCACATGGGGACCGCTCCAAAGTACTGAAGAGCAAGGATGTCTGTTT